CAGTCTGGCAGCTCAAAGTTCATACATTGTGATGGATATCATTGATGTAAGGATTCAGCTGAGCTGGGTTTCATTCAGGACTCTGTCAATGATTGTATGGCTTTAGTCAAGCCACTTAACTTGTTGGTACTTGAGCTTCTCCATCTGTAAAAATCAGCTAATGCTGCTCCAAGTACTTTTTGAAAAACTTTTATATTTTCAGATTGATATAAATGTAAAGCATTGCTCTAATAGTGCTATTATTTTTTTTTATCTATCTACTGCTTTTAGACTGGCATTGACATTCAGTATAGTGTCAAACAAAACATTCCTCACATTTTGGGCAATAACAGCCATTTGAATTCTACTAGTTCTTTTTTCATAACTGTTTTAATGAAATTTCTGATATAATGATACTCTTATGCAATTTGATTGTCACCATAATAGCTGACAGTCAATCTAATGTCAATGGTCATGCATGTTAGTGCTATTACACCATGAATCTTTGATTATAATGGCATAGTTTGAGCAATATAATAGAGTCATTACAATATCAACTGAAATATACAAACTCAGCTCTTGAAAGGTTTATATGGGGAAGATATATGGACAGTATCAAGATTGAGTTATAGACATTTAATTCAGTGTATATTTGTGGCATGACTGTGTTACTTCATAGTAGTGTGTTTGGTATTACAATGGGGACAACATGTTAACAACTTATAAGATAGTGGTGTGATAATGCAGTATATGTTGAAAATCATAACATGCTTTAGTTTGTACAAGAGAAAGCAGTTATTAGACAAGCTCCTGTCTTGATTGGCCCATTATTTCTAAAATCCTTAGGGATGTGCAGAGCTTCAGGTGGTGATTCGATTCAAAGGAGATTCGGCCCAATTTGGTGGCCGAATCTCTGAATCTGATTCAAGTCAGGGGACCAATTAAAAGGTCTGAATTGTTTCAAAGCTCTCTGATTCTTTAAAAAAGGTTCGAAGAGCTTTGATGATTCAGGGAGTCCCTGGTGGCTGAGGGATGGAGCTGCGGCTGACTGTGAGCTGGTAAATACTAGGGGCAGGAGAGCGGGGACTGGAGGAGTAGGGAGGGGATCATGGGGGGACCTCTGTCAACCCCCTCGACTTCTCTGGTTCCCCCAGCCTCCCTATGGATGCCCCACCTTCTCTAGCTTGGTACTTCAAAAAAAAGCCCTGGTGCTCACTGGGTGCTGCCAGGCAGGAGGAGAAATCTCCGCTGCCCCCCACTGCCCCACATTGCATGGGAGAGCTCTGGCATGAACCCCTTAACCCTCCCACTCCCACAGCCCCTCCATGGGTGCCCCACGTGAGCCAGCTCCAGCCCTTAAAAAAAACCCCAACAAAATGAAGCCCCAGGACTCACTGCTCCTAGTGTGGCCTCAGGGCCTTGGGAGGCTTGTGCAGACCCCTCCATGTGGCATGGGGCAATGGGGGGGG